CTACTCTACGCGTCCAAAATCTAAAAATTCATGAGAAACTAACTCTATTATTTGACTTGAGGTATGATGATAAGGCAGTCTAAATGTCAGAAATTTCATATCACTATTGCATTTATATTAGTAGTTATTGCATTTATAGTAGTAAACTACAAAATCAGGCACAGGAAGGCAAGATAGGAAAACTGCAATCTGAAAAAGGAATAAATTTCCCCTCATGAATATTTTCTATACTGGCCACTTTATCTGTGCATCAGTGTTTACTTCCTGTACCCTTCCCTTGGGTCTCTTGAGGAAGGAGTGGGAGTCCATGGTGTAAGCTGGCAATATATCTTCACTCCTCTCTTTTTAATTAACACTATTTACTGTAACTAAAAATCTCACTCAAGAATCGAGTGGTCTAACTACATTCCAGCAATGGTGGCAAGATACAATTAGCAATTATAATACTTCAAATACAACTATAATACTGTGAATACAATTCCAAGAAAGTAAGAAATCAAAAGATGACACATTAGGTTTTCAGAAATTTGTTTGCTAGGCACTTTACAAGGTACAGAATGCACCATGAACTGAGAAAATCATACAAAGCAAGACACAGGTCAGCAGGATGCTCACAGGAGTGTCACAGAAATCAAGAATTCATTCTGGCCGCTGCTAAATTAGCTAGCACATGAACTTTTAAAATGTCTTCTACAATGATATATTTAATCAACAGAACTTTGTAATTTTCTAACAAAAAATAGGTATCTTAGAAGGGCAAAGTTACCACCTGTAAATTATAGGCAAGTTTCCCTTTTAAGCTAATCTGTTTCAAGGGAAGCTTTTGTCATATAGTCTTCAACAAGTTAAAAAATATATGCCATAATTAATTTTAGTTTGCTCAAAATCCAACATTATTAAAAACTTCATATGCCTATTTAGAAAACATGTTCTCTTTGATTGTTTTTTTAGGTGTTTTTCTTAATTACCTTCACAAGCTTCTAAAGCACTTAGTGTGGGCACTGTCATCACCTCACGGAGTAGAGATACAGTGACTGGACTAGTCTCGACATCTCTCCTCAATTTATAAAAAGATGCAACAATACCAACGTCTAGAAAGTAGCATTTATTTATTCAAACAGTCAAAGAAAGGACTAAAATAGTCACGGAGACATTATAATTGGGATGAAATACTTTTATGTGGGCTATATATTTTGATAAAAATAAAGAGATCTTTGTACAAGGTGATTACAAGGACTTCAGTTTAATTTAATTTGACTTTTAAAAAGTTTAGATTAATTGAGGTAAAACAGGAAAACACAAAAGCACAATAGAACTATTAGAACTCCTAGCCATATTAATTACTAAAGAAAGTTTACATGTATTTACAAAGTTAGGAAATGTAGCAACTCAAAACAGATTCAGACATTGTATACAGTTGGACACACATTTATCCTTTGAGCTTGCAATAACTTCCAGGAATTTGCCCTGAAGCTTCACCTATGTATCATAGGCTGAATAAAAAATAATTAAAAAAAAAAAAAAACAAAGCCATACAATGGAGTTCTTTGGAACTTAGCCATATATGGGTCTAGGGACATGGCACAGTGATACAGCATGTACGCTTATATGCTTATACTGAACAAGGGCCTGGGTTCAATTTCCATAATACACACACAACACAGACCAAACTACTGCCAGGTGTGGTATTAGCAGGTTTAAGCAGAACTGACAGATCACTCCACTGAAACCAGAGTGTCATGTAGAGCTGGCTGACCAGGATCAGCCAGGGAAGATTCAAGGAGACCTTGGTGTGCAGAGCGAGGAAGTCTGCAAACACTAATTCAAGCACATCAGAAGGATACAGATTGGAGATTTAAAGCCTACTTGACATATTTTAACCTTTGATAAATTCGGGTCAAATTTGGCATGAAAGAAAAATAATGGAAAAAATGATTAGGGCCTACTAATTTGATCATAATAGGTTTTTAATTAATTCTATTCAATAGTTTAACAAAACTATGAATACATAGTGATAGTAAAATGGAAGAAAAAAAGAAAAACACTTTTATCAGAAGAATACCATGTTAGTAAATGTTGAATAAATAATGGAATTAGAAAGAACCATTTTCTGACATTCACTGTAGTTGTTAATTTGTGCAAGTATGTCAATGGTTATGGAAATTTCTGGAGGAAAATCTGTCAAAGAGATGGGCATTTACTAGATCAGCATTCAGATTAGTAATTGACTACAAAGGGTTGTTCCTTTACACTGAAGATATACTCATCTTCAAATTTAACAAAACCAGCTGACGGTGTCAGGCAGTGATAGCACATGCCTTAATCCCAGCGGTCGAGAGGCAGAGGCAGGCAGATCTCTGAGTTCCAGGCCAGCCTGGTCTACAGAGTGAGTTCCAGCAGTCAGTTTTAAAAAAAGAGATCCTGTCTAAAACAAACAGCTGACATTAAAGCCACCTATGTAACAAATTAAGAAACACACATTATCACCCACAAGGACCATTCTCCTTGCCAAACAAGTTATAATCTAATGACAAGGACAGTCAGACAAATCTAGAGTACATGACATTTCCTGTGACAAGTGATCCCATTCACTACCCCGAAAAGACCATGTCATAAAAAAACAAAACTATTAAAGAGACTTTACAACTAAATATAATTATATGCATCTTGATTGGATCCTGTGTTGAAAAAAAGTTCTTATAACACATTTGGAGACAGAAAAGACACTCACGTGTGGACTACTGGATGATCCTACTTAATGCATACTGACTTTACATCTGATACTTATGTCGGTTGTGTAGAACACCTCATTTCTTAGAACAAATCCTGCAGTGTGCAAAACCATGCAATCTTCAAATGGTTCAGTAAAGACATCAAATGTCAACTGATGAATTCAAGTGAAGAATACACACGTGTCAACTGGATTATTTTTCCAAGTTTTCGTAGATTTGAAATCTGTCTGGCCAAATTGTTAGAATTAAACAAGAATGCCCAGTGTGACACTGCCACCCAGAAAGTGGTAAGACATGCTTAAGTCCCAATCCTAGCAATTAACTTTAGTCTTAGTCACTTTAAGAGATTAAATATACTAAGCTACCCGTACATTTACTGAGGGCTAGTTCTATCTCAGCTAGAGGTAGTGAGATCTCAGTCAGTTCTACTAATTTGTTGGGTCCATGGTATCTGGATCTATTTTCAGATTGTGAACATGACCTATGCATAAAATATATCATGATTCTGAGGAATTTTGTTGTAGTTCTTCAGATGATCTCCAAACAGGATTAATACAGTCAATGCCTTGTATTCATCTCCATACCTATTATTTCATTAGCTGTTTCTCATGATAGCTACTTTTCCCAGAATTTATAGGAATGGAGTAGAGCAAAGGCAGCTAAAGAACTTTTGACAAAAATCATCATAGAATGCATAACAATGAAATGGCATTGGCAGTATCCTAATTTTTCCTGTTATGCTAACTTACTCTGAAGCTTCTAGAACACACTTTTATATATCTGGTTCTAAGAAATGTATATACTACTCATTGTTCAGTAAACTTCATATCAGTTAGTTTAACCTTTTAAAAATCTTCATTTCAATTCACATATTAATTTTAGTCAAATCTATTTCCTTGCATAAAACAACTGATTTTTAAAAAATCACATAAACAAATCTCTACCTCCTTACAATATAAATCCTAAAACAAACCTCATAGGAGATGGGGGGGTAACTCAGCAAGCATGAGGCTCACGTTCTGATCACTAAGCAGTGTGGTGGCCTGCCTACAAACCTAGTGCACGGGAGAGAGGGACGGTGCAGCTAAGGAGCCAGAAGGCCAGCCAGACTGGCAGAAAGGGCACACTCAGGTTTACTCAAAGACCCAGTCTCAATGTGTAAGATGAAGATCAATTGAGAAGACACCTAAAATCTATCTCTGGATTCCACAGGCTTGTGCATTATACACACACACTGCATGCAAAAATACGCATTACTCACACTCCATATAAACAAATACATGTACAAATAAAGTAAAACAGGACAAATACACTTTTACATTCTAAGAGCAATGCATTATATACACTGGCTGGTAAAAAGAATTACTATAGTTTGTAGCATTATTTTCTCTAAAAGAGTACTTATCTTTTTTAGTTTGTGTTGAAGTAGATTTACTTTACTAAAGCCTATTAAAACGAGAGGTGAACTCAGTATTAATTTACTATTCTCTTTCAAATGTTGTCCATCTTCAAAAACTAGTAACTGTATTTGATGCTGAATTACTGGTTAGCAACCCATGGAGATCAGACAGTCTGATACTCATATTACTTCATCCATTACTGAGTATTTTAGTATTTTCCAGTTTTCACTAACCAGACTATTTTTTTCTTTTTTTTTTTTGGCTACAGTTGCTGACACTGCTTTTTAAATTGTATGTACTATAAATGTCTTAACAATGTAATAGACATCTTTTACAAGTCCTCTTCTTCAATCATTTCCTTGGGCATGTTTTACTAAACATATTAGTAAAACATAAAACATGGCTTCTATTTTATTTGTCATTAGATTACTTCTAGACAAAAACCTCAACATATAAACTATTAATATGGAATTAAATTCTTACAATTATATTCCCAATCTGTTATGTTGCCTATGTTTGTTGCCTGTTGTTAATGAATTTTGATCTAGATATTCGAGGCTATATATTTAGCCTTGTCAAAAATGAACAAATATAAACTATATCTCTCTAATATTTTATCAACAGGCACCTTTATAAATGTTGTCATGCTGATATTATCTCTGACATTCTGCATTGTATTCTACCTATTAAAATAAACACCTTACGGGGGTGGGGAATAAAATCTGGACGGTAAATAAATAAATACAAAATAAACACCTCAAATGTATGGAAGCACGTACTTACTATTCTAACACCAAAATGATTTCGGTTGCATTTTCGTAGACCTCGTGCAGATTAATCACGTGGGGACAAGACCTGGCCAGCTCCAGCACAGCTATCTCATGCAGAATCTCTGCCCGGCAATCCTGCCCTCTTCTTCTCTTTTTCAGAAATTTGGCAGCATACTCCTGTCCAGTTGATCTTGATATACATTGTCTAACCACAGCAAATTTTCCTCTAGAAAGAAAGAATAGGACAACTTCATAACTCCAACCAACTTAAGGTGAGGTCTTTCATGTATCTGTGCCGTCAGGAATTTTTCTTTTTTTTGTACAAGCTGACACAAATATTATATGCTCTTTTATTAAGTCTACAATGTTACTGCATAAGTGTAGATGATTATCATAGCAGAATAAACTATTGTTTTTACTATCAGTATAATATATTTTCAGTGTATCTGATAATATCATCTGCCTATCAACTCTATGCCTCTAACAGATTCACAAGGAATATGGATCCTATGGAGGGTACTCAAATATATTTTATGATCCATATATTTTATGATCCACTTATTGCTAAGTGCCAAGAATCTCTAACTTTCTTGTCTTACAACTATGGAGAAATTTCTCCCCTTAAAATAGATTTGTTCATTAACACCTACCAAGTCTTACTTAGATATAGAAGCAAAAACTTGTCTAAAACAGAAAATGGAGTTGAGGTTGTAGAAAAAACTCTCACCTTGTAAAATTGAGGAAACAAGCTAGTAAGCCAAGGACATTACATATCTGAAAGTCAGGCCTTTTACGGTTGTGATGACATCACTAACAGTTATCTGACGGTACCTATCAACTAGAATTGCTTCAAAAACAAGTAGCAAGATGAACAAGTTTTGTCTATTTTTACCTCACTATTTAAGCTTCCTAAGACGCTCTTAAACTACTCTTTTACTCATGAACTCAGGACATGTCAGAGGTAATGGTTCTTCTGACAGTGTTCACTGCTAACGGAAAGCTCTATGAGGACAGGGAACGAACGTGTCTAATCTAGTTAATCAAGTCTATTTAAAAAATGTACATTTAGATAATGCTAACTAACACATATTATCACCTGAAAAGCTTCTGAACAATCTATTCTGAATATCTATTATAATACCACACATCGTGTTATGTTTTTAAATCCACATTTGCTGCTGCTTCTCATCCTCCTCTTTTTTTTTTTTCTTTTTTCCCGAGACTGTGCAGCCCTGGCCATCCTGGACCAAGCTGGCCTCCCACTCAGAGATTCCCAGCTGCCTCTGCCTCCAGAGTGCTGGGACTAAATAAAGGTGTGCACTACTACTGCCTGGCCTACATTTGCATTTTTAAACATTTGAGAAAGTTACATCAACATATTTATACAATTACATATGCATATATTCATATAAATACTGTGAAGCAAGATAAATATTTTACCATTATTATCAGAGGCTTTAAGGGGAAGAAAAAAAAGACAAGTATCTGCTTTATAGTCTAAGATGCCAGTTGTCGTTTAGAAGTCTAACAGTAATCTTCAAAATATGTTCCTATACCAAACTGAAGAGAACTCGTCAAGAAAACATAAAGCCTTAATAATAATCGTCAATGCACACCTTTAAAGGGCAAGGCAGACTAGATTTCCCAGCAGTGAAATCTAGCCGTTACCCTCTGCATTCTAGAACACACAATAAAACACGAAGGGATGGGGAGGGGAAGCCACAAAGGAAGCTGACGTTTATTTCTGAATCTGCCTCACCCTTCTAACCACAAGGCCGATGAAACTTTGCCTCAGCTGGGGGAGGGGTGGAAAAAACTTACCCAACATGTTAAAAAACAGGAACAATGCAGTTTTTGAGAATAGTGAAAAATAAACTTAGACTTACATTATATATTGTGTTGCTAAAAGGACATTTTAAAATTAATTTTTAAACCAAGTTGATATGGACAGATAACTTGTAGTTTTCCACATGGTAGAATTATGTTTCTAAATTACAAAATATGCAAGCCTCCCAGAGGGGGAAAAAGTGTGAACCCCAACTTCACCTCATCAGACATGCACACTAAGACTGGTTATGACCTCTGCAGAATTGTAAGGTTCATGAAAGACTTTAAATATTAGAATTTTTAATTGCCAACATTGAAAATTAAATGCACCAATATTTACCGTGTGAGTCATTTGCCCAGAGCAATTTAAAGGTGCGATTTAAGTCTCTTCCATGAGGATGTCTGTCTGATGCTGGGACACTAGCAATCCCACTAGTAAGCTCGCTAGCATTTGCTTTGAAATGTTTAGAAGCAAACTTACTCCAATTCAAGCTGGTCCCTATGACATCACTTCAGCTGTCGACAATTTAAAGTTAACAGTGGCCCCACACAAGTCCTCTACACAGCTAAAGGAAAAAGGCTCTCTGTAGCCTCTATACCTATTATTTTGCAGTTAACCTAGTAAAGTTACTAATCCAAATAGTAACCTAGAAAAACAAGTAAGAATGCTTAAGTCTTTGTCTAAGTGTTTGATCAGAGCAATTTCCAAATGTTGTACAATAAAAGGCAGCTTGAACACATTTATATTCTCAACTAAGTAAAAAGTGATCTGTACAACTAAGTATATCACACAAATTTTGATCCAGAGCAAAGGAAGCTCAAGTAACTAGCTTAGTCAGAATAATATGATGCTACATGACACAGATTAGGCATCCCTAGTGATAAAAATGGATAGAAGAAAGGGAGAAGAGAAAAGAGAAAATGTGGAAGGAGACACTCGGGCATCTAATGGCTTCAGCAGTCTTCTCACAAAGTAAGACTGTCAACAATACTGTGTCTAATACTAGGCTCCTCATTTTAACAGAAACAATCAAAAGCAGGAAGTGGTCCAGAAGAGGGTGACTGAACAAAGGAATGCCCGCTGGATACTGTGCCATATGATACGTGCTTAGGGAAACTAAGGATGTTCGGTTTTGTTTAAATATTTGAAAGACTGTCACCTAAGTATATACTGAATGTAGCTACCAAAAGAAAACCATGTCTATTTATGAAGAAGAGATTAGTAAGCATGAAGCAAAATATCCTATGTCTCTGAGGTGGTTTCATCTCTACGTTGGCTACATGAAATATCCAAAAAATAGAAAGGCCAGGACTTGCATCTACGTAAAACATAAAAGACACTAGCAAAGAACTGACTTTCATAGTTCAGCCAATTTGAGATTCCACCCTGAGATTTTAAAGCAAAAACTAATCATACTTGTTTTTTGTCTATCCATCAATACAAAACACTGTGGCATAAGCCAAACATTTATATACACATACACAAACACACACACACACACACACACACTCCCATGACCTAACTCTTCATAACCATACTTACTTTAAACCTAAGAAAACACAAAATAGGTAAATAACTTGGCACAGGTTTTCTAATATATACTAAAAATTACTGTAGTGCCCATTGTCCAGGGCATGCTTGGACATAAGAAATGCATACTTGACTAAGCCAAGGCAGAATTTATACAGGCTTCTACTAATACAGAACACCCATTCTTTGAAATATAAAACTGTGATATTAGACGTGAGTTAAATATTCTTAATTTATGAGAGTATGTACACGTGAAATGAAGAACTACCTCTTTCTCTTTTAGACAGACAAATTAGCTGGGAATTGAAAAAAAAACGTATTAAACCAAGACATATAACACTGTATTAAGCCCTTTACAAATATTAAGTAATTTAACCCTAAAAATATCTATATAAATTAAATGCAATTATCCTCATCTCTTTTTCAGATGAAACACTGGCACTAAGAGGAGTTGTAATTTAACTGAAGTCACACAGGTAGTCAATGGCAGAGTCCAGATGGGGACTTGGTAGCCTGAGCTGTCCCTTCCCATTTACAGACGTAGTTGCAAGAAGAAATGAGATCTGGAGCTAGGTGGGATGTTTGATATGAACTCCTCCACAGATTTGATTTTCTGTTCAGCTAAGAAAATGGAGATGAAAGCTTTTCTTTCTAACCGCTGATAACGGTTCCAAGTTTTATAACTCAAATAAAACTCTGAATATAGACAGCACACATATCAAAGTTTTCTTACCTCCCAAGTTCTTTCGGGGTAAGCGTATAGAAATTATTAAAATTCTCTGTTTTCATCGGTGTTTGAGGGGTTGTAGTTAGCAAGCCAGAGACACTTCGGCAATCAAACCTCCTCCGAGACATGCTGATGACTGCCAGACCTGCTTCTCTAGGCACTGACTTTTACCTAGTTAAAAGAGACAGGAAGAGAGAAGATGGAACTTAAATGTAACTAAGAAAAAGAGACATCATCTCAGGCAGGATGTGCATTACTTACACAACTCCAAATATAGTATTAAGATAGAACAACAGAGATATGCTGATTTCAGGAGCTTATTCTATTCACAAGCAGAAAACGCCAGAAGCACACGTAGACATAAATTGGTATCCCCTCTTTTATGGCACCTAAGCAAACCTACAGATTTTATTTAAAAAAGAAACTGTTATAAAAATAGTAAGAAATAATTATTATGCAGGTGGAAGGAGGTATCATTTTTATTTGACTTATGGCTACAGCTTTCGCACACCTATGGAATTTAATACAGTAATGTAATGACTATTTGTTTTAATTTCACATGTCCACAAACTTGGTGGCAAATTCACATTTTGTGAGTTATATTTCTGCCCCATGTAAGTCAAGAAATAAAACGTGCTCACGGATTGGCTACTTTCCCAAATTAAATCTAGAGCCCTCCCACCCCCCGAGACCTTAACAATTCTTGCCTTGGCAAAACTCAGTGCTGTCTATACATGGCATTCATGGAAACTCTATTTTGCTGGGTCAGTGACTGACCATAAATAAATTATCAACCCAGAGTCAAACCCATATCTGAAGTTCATAGTCTGAAGCTTTTGGCACTTTATGTAACCAGTTTTAGTATCAAATTACTATTTAATATTACCAAATCTGTTTAATTATGGTGGACTCTCAGCCATGTCTGTCTATGAAAGATCAGGAATTAGTCTGCTAGGACTCTCCCATAATAACCCTCTAGATTCTGTTCCTGTTGCCACATTCCCCCTCCTCACCTCCTGCTGAGAGAAACTATTTTTTGTTTGTTTGTTTTTTTAAAACTTTGCTATATTCAGATGCCAAGTAGTATCTTCTACTTAGGAAACAGGCAATGTTTTCTGATCTATATTTTGTTTGATTTTCAAATCTATAAATTATTTCTCTATAACCTTTGGTCTTGGGGCAAAACACTTCTCTAGGTAGTTGGGGATACATCTCTAGGAGTCTAAGAATACCAACACTGGGGTGCGGGGGAAAAATTGAGCTGAAATGCTCCTGGGTATGAATTCCACTTACTGTTCCTTACAGGTACGAGGCCATACACAGAGTTTTAGGTTCCCTATTGTATCAGTCTGGTTTCTGTTACTATACTGAAATTCCCAAGGTAGGCTATTAATAAAGAAAATATGCTTGTTTTGGCTCACAGTTCTGGAAGTACAAGGATAAGGAGCCTCAACTGATGGTGACCTTGGAGAATATCACAACATCACATGGCAAGGACTGCTAAGTGTGAGGCTAGCCTGAAATACAGAATGCATATGAGGTCTGCCAGGACTATACAGCAAAGCACCTCACAATGAGAATTCAGTATAAGTCTGGAAGACAAAACCTAACAGCTACTATTATAGGCCAAACTACGTCTTCCTTGTATCTGTTAAGTGAAATATTAAACCCAGTACCTCACACTGTAACTGCTTTTTTAGATAAAGGCTTAAGGTGGTGACTAAGTTAAAATGAGACCATTAAGGCAGGGCCCTACTCCACTATGACTGGTGTTCTTGTAAGAAAAAAAAAGACATAAAAACACATGGAAGATATGTGAAAACACTGGGCAAAAATAGCCAAACATTTTTAATAGCTGTCTGTATTTTTTTAAGGGTCTCACTATGCAGTCCAGTCCTAGAACTCTGGGTAATCCAGGCTGACCTTGAACTAATTATAATCCTATCTCTTGAGCGCTAGGATTACAGGCCTATGCCATCACCTTGTGTTAACTTTTCATATCTTCTTAGTTCTGAAGACATTGTTTCCCTTGTCACATTGTATTATTAAGAAAATCAATATGGATATCGATTTCTACAATCAGTCAGTTAGGAAAACCTCTTCTGTACCACCTTTGGATTTTAGAATTTTATACCTACACGTATGATTACACTTGCATTATTCTCATTTCTACAAATAGAAGGAACAGGCCTAATCACTGATACAACTGGGCTATCTTCCCAACACTTTTTTATCAACAAAGAACACTGCAATAGATCGAAGAGACAAGTTTATTAGTCTTCATTTTTCTTTTATATAGATTTTAGATGCTCATTTTAGATGATTTTGTCTCTCATAGAAATTGAACTAAGAAACATTTTATAAATAAGCATTTCTACTCTCAATTTTCAAGAGGCAATATGATCCTTTTATGGCATCAAAGATTTGTGTTTAATTAAGTATGATGTATATTTAAAAACACTCCAGAAACCTGTTGAATTCATAAACTCTAAAATCCAACATATTAACATACTTAAGACAGTTGTACTTTCAAAGATTAACTCATTAAGTATGAAATAAAGACATAAAAGTTTATAAACAGTATGATAAATCAGTGGGTAGACTATAAAAGCCAACGGAAGATTGGAAAATTACAGCAAAATATTAACGGTAGTCATCCCCAGTGAGATTATGGTAATTAGAATTTCTTATTACTAGTTTATCTAAACTTAAAGCATTACACTTCAATAATCAATAAAGACTGTTGTCATGTCACCTGAGACTAAATACTTTAAACCTAAAATAATATGAATATACAATAAAACAACTGATAAAGTCTTCCTTATGATAGAAAATGGCTGTGAATATGTGGCCAGAAAAATGCAAACTCTTCCTCATCTGCAAGAGCAAAGGTGTCAATCTATATCCTTTACTTTGCAGAATTTACTTTGCCTGAAGTTCAAGAGCCATTATTGGTTGGATTTTTCAAGGCCTCAAATTTTTCTTTGCATTTATATATAGGTGATGGTGTTCATTATCCAAATTGTAAGTCAGATCTCATGCAGAGAGCATGTACAACTTCAGGGGATATATATATATATATATATATATATATATATATATATATATACTAAGTTAAAATCATTACATTGCTTACGGTTAGCTTTAATTCATTATATTAAGTAAGCAGTAACTTTTAAATACTTTTCTCAGGGAACATATTGGAAGAGCACGTAAGAGCTGGAGGTCAGGAGGAGCACTATGAAATGCTGTCCTGTGGTTACCTGCAGAGATCAAACCCTTAGTTCCAGCATGGGGAGGAGGAGCTCCCATGGCCCCACCCCTAGCTAAGGAGCTATAAGTAGTTGACTATTAAAGAGGGGGACAGTGTGGCCTCTGATAAGATTCCCATGTGGATGACCTCACTAGTACGTATGAGCAGCACTATCTGGACTCTGCAATTAAATAAATGAGGGCAAGAAGTTAGGAGGGGGATGAGATGGAGTTCTAAGGAATGATGGAGGGAGAGAGTAGGCGGTGAATATGATTAAGATACATTGCATGCATGTGGGAAATTGTCAAAGAATGATATATATATATCATATATTCACTATATCATATTCACATATATCATATATATGATATACTGAATATTGAAAAAAGCCCAATTTGTACTGGGACTCCCCCCAAAAGAGTCTAAAATGTGATATACAAGTATAGTAATTAGAATTAAGTTTGGCAAAGCCTGTCATTTAATTATATGGAGAGAAAAGAAAAAATATTTTAAATAAAAGTTAGTGAAATGCATAGTGATAGTTTAAACCAGTTCTTATTCATCAGCTCACTTAAAGGACTTTCCTTGGGGATTTGGCATGTATTCGCTCCATTCCCTAACAAATTCTATTAACACTCATATGAACTGATGACCATTATTATGGATGAATATGCCACAGGTACTTGTATGACAATAGATGTATCCAAAAACACTGTTGAGCAATTGCAAATTTTTTAAATATATTTAAATACAAAAATGAGTTTTGATGTAACAACTCATTTCATTATGGCGCTGTATCTCCAAAACACAAACTTTGCCTTAAAAGAAGACGATTCAAGAAACCAAACCTTAGGTACATTTGCCTGCATCAGAAGCTGCTTAAGGATCCACTCAGCTTTCTTATTTGTCTTTTTCTCTTTACTACACTTAAATGAGTTGTCAGTTTAGTTATTTTCCCATTTCTCCTCCTCTGGTCAATCTTGTATATAATAGAACCCAAATGTCACCTCCATCTACCAAAGGCTTTACAAATGGGTTGCCTGTCATGTAAAATACATGAGAGCTACCAATCAGTTCTGTCTCTCCTTGTATGCCTTAAAATTACCACCAATTTCTCTTGCTTCTAATAGACAATCTGCAGATCTTCTCTTCCATAATTCACAGTTATAACCAATTCTAAACAAGAATATAACTTACAATAAATTTACAAATTACCAATGTATCTTACTTAATTTGAACTCGCTTTATATTTTATCAGACTATACCAATAAAAATATCTAAAGGGACTTACTGATTTGTGTTTGTAAACAATTATAGACACACTTATAGAAGGCATGAATGCATAACAAAAGATACAAGTAGGATTTTAATCTTATACCAGTATGGTGTCATATTTTTCCAATTTTTTCATTAATTTCTATTACAATTACAATAAGAATTCAGATATGGATCAATGAAGGAAGGAAGAGAACAAAATCTTATATTTGATCTGTGCCTTTGATTGAACGGAGAGCACAAGTATGATAAACACTAAATAAACATCTTTCTAAATCTCTAGGAGTTCCATTCAAAAGTTATTCATTTCGAGGTTATCAAATGAGAAGGCTTATAAAAGTAGAAATTACAGAGTGCAATAAAGAAAGCATTTAAAAGTAAGTTGCCGGCTTTATTCCTTTACTGGCCCAGGAACTAAAACTTAAAATCCTTTGTAGCATGATACACAAAGGCCCAGAAGATGAGTATACACCAGCTTCATTTCCTATCATAACTCAATCTCATATTTTATCTCCACTTCTTTGCTTTACTTCTCTGCCTGAAACATCCTTTCTACCTTTCCTTAAATGGCTACTTCATACTCATGCTCTGCCCCAGGAAGTCTTGCCTCAAACCCACAAGTTGACTTAAATGTCTTTTCTGTATGCCTGAAACAAAAGAACTCTTGACATACCAATTTACCTGAAAATTTAACACTAGACTGCAATTCTACTTTGTGTCTAAAAGAAAATAACCTTTAACTTGAGCTTGAGCAACTCAGCATGGTATACCTAGTAAGGATTAAAAAATGTTTAAACAAAATGCTATAAATGATAAAAACACAGTAAATTGCCTTTTTAGGTACATCTAAATGGATTAGCTGAACTGAGGTTCACCTTGAAATTGCAATACAGAAGCTTTCAACACAGTCTCTGCTTATTTCAGTAGTTGGCTAAATAAGAAATATTAAAAACTGCTCTTACAAAACGCCTTCTAAAAACAAGATAGCTACATAATTCAGAAATGTGAATAAAATTATTTTTATCATCTATTATAAGATTTAAAAAACAATTTAGTCTGCTCTAACTGTTCCAGACTAGGTGACCACTTGTTTTCATGTAAATATCTGTTATCTAAGAACTTCCTGAAAGCCACATACTTGCTCTATCCAAAGTCTGACAAATCTAGACCTTCATGAAGTAAATGTGAAGGAATATGGCAGCCAAGCAACTTCTTTCCTTACATGGGCACCAACAAGACTGAGCTGTGTCTAGGAAACAGAGAAACGGAAAGTTTACTTATCTAGCCTCTATAAGAAATAAAAACTTTCTGCATGTTCAAGAAGGATGTGTTTTAGTTGGCCAGTGACTGGAAGAAAGCATTGGTGTTGACAGATGATTTCTATGTTCTATGAACTCTACTCATAGCACTGAACTGTCATGTTTGTTTTTAAATTCTGAACAGCAAGCAAAATCCAGTAATTTAATTCCCTGAAAATCACAATGGGAAGCCAAATGACTCTAGTCCAACCACTGGAGTATAGATTACAGCAGGGTTATGTCCCAGGCAAGGAACCTCAGCCTGACACTGGGCCAAGACAGTAAGACCTGATGCCATCCCCTCCCACCTTCAGAAAAAGAAATGGATCCTGTAATTGTGAAGTAGGATGAGAAGATGTTGAAAAACGGAAATAATGCAGGCTGATGATTACACAGAGCTCATCACTCATCAGATGGAAAACTGGGTTTCTGTTGCAAAATAAATTACCATACCCTTTACTAATAGCACCTCTGAAATAATGTTTGTTCAGTAACTGTTACAATGTAAACTGGAATCTAATTCTTAAAGGGTTAAAAAAGAACCACCATTTTACTATTAAAATTTCTCAGTGCTTAAAGTACATCATCTTTTGGACTAGTTGGAGAAAGCAAAGTAATCAAAGTATATCATGTATAAATATTTGAAAAAAGGACTCATTTACATGCACAAGATAATTGAAAAGAATATTTCTCTGTCTTGAACTCAGTTCAAAAACTCATCTTTTTCTAAATAGTCTGGTATAGAAAATATAAACTATGTATGGTTGCATATATAGCTCTTTTGGTAGAGTACCAACCCTGCATGGATGAGGCATAAGTTCAATCCCCAACACTGCCATATAAAACTAAGCAAATAATCAAAATTGAGCTGGTAGTGTAGGCCTTTAATTTCAGCACTCAGGAGGCAGAGTCAGGCAGATACCTTGAGTTCAAAGCCAGCTAAGACTATACAGTGAGACCCTGTCTCAAAAGACAAAAAAATCCTTTAAAACTGGTAAGCAAGACTCAGATACGGCTCAACAGTAGAGCAAATGTCAAGATGCAGGAAGTAAGAATTTTAGACACAGGAAATAAGCATTATAATATATCATATCTTGAGAAAATTTAGTTTAAATCGAGTCTCTAAAAAACTGGGAGATTTTGACACAGAAATCTTTCCTTATAACTGTCAAGCAGCTAAAAAAAACAAAGCATTGAAAGCATATGTTCACTTAGCATCAATAAGCTGTTCATTGTCAATACAAACTTAAAAATGAAATTAAAAGTGTCTGCCATTAAATCCCTGCATTGTCTATAGATGTTAATTTAGATATAGATGTTAGATTGTTAATTTATGAAGTCTCTACTAAAATGTCACTTCTACCTAAACCAAAATGTAATTTCTTTTTTTCTTAATGTTTTATTATATGCAAGTTGAGAGGTCAGAGGACAAGCTGTAAGCATAGGTTTTCTCTTTCTACCATGTAAGTCCTAGGGATCAGGACATTTGAGTTGGTGGCAAGAACGTTTCCCAGCAGAGCCATCTTCTGAAACTAATTTCTTATTTAAAAAAAAAAAAAGGAAGAAAGAAAGAAAAAGAAAACTAAGAAAACTACTACCATTCTATCCACATACAAAAACGATTTTGAAATTACAGAAATGCTACTTTTCTAACTTAAACATATTGTCATGTAAGTAAATGTACTTTAACCTTCATTCAAGAAAATGATCTAAGATGTATGTGTATCTCGAAAAGAAACCCAATTACTTGAAATATTAAAACTACCAAAAATTAAATATCAAACAAAAAGATTGGGAGAAAAGACAGGTCTAAAATTTGGTCACTATTTCTATGGACTAGGTTTTTTTTTTCTTTTAATATATACAATTTTAAGGCAGAGTGATTCAACTTTTATGAAATAGTTGAAAACCATTTCTGAGCATCTCACCGTGAAGACTGTACCAATGAGAAAGTGAGTTTATATCTCTGTGTAATTAAACTGTGCTCCTTGAGTTCAAAATTCCATGTTTCATATGCTTCCACTTGGCTCGTTATCTCTGCAGACCTTGCTGCCCAAGGCACAGTCTCTCTCCTAGACTTAAAACTTAAAAAGTCCACACGGTATCAAACCTGCCGGCAAGGTTCAGCGTTATCGGTGCCATGGATGTAAACATGACGTCAGCCAAACACTCAGTGAATGTCATACACCGAGCTAATGATTGAGTATGACTGAAATTCCTAGGCTTTCAGAAGTATTTCTTAATTCCAACTTGCAAGCTGAAGCCAGCGCGCCTCTAGTCCCAACACAGCCACAGACACTAGCCACCAGTTGGCCGTGAAGTTTCTTTCAACTTTGTCTCCATTCATCTATATTCCGAGAGGGAAGCAAAGTTAAGCGCTTTTCCCACGGTAAGGCCGGGCCTTACCAGATAAAGATCCAGACCGTGGCTATGATGTGGCTGTCTAGTCTGAGGATGGGTCACAAGCACAGAGGGATTCCCACTGCTTTAAAGCCAAAAAGTCATGGAAACAGTTGTGGCTCCCCACGCCGGGACTGACAGCGGCCCACGCGGTGACCGCAAAGTTTCTCCGGGGCTGCTGGCCGGAATCGTCCACCCGCCCCGACGTGAAGGCGTCCCGCGCCCACAGCACGCGAGCCCGGGAGCTACCGGGAGGACCACGTCGAGACGCCGCGGAGGCTATCGGGCACGGTCGCTCTCAGGGACGCCGGCTCTGGCCTTCGGGCTCGCCGCAGGGTCCCCGCTCCCCCACACCGACCACTCGGCCACAGCTTCGCGCCGCCGCAGGCTCTGCCCTCCCTCCGACTGGGCCGGGGCTACACAGGCTCACCTCGCACGCTTCCCCACAACGGCTGGTCGCGGTCAGCCAGGCCCCTGTGAGGCGACTCCCGGCGGCGACCGCACAGACGCTGACCGGCGCTTCTTACAGTTGAGGTTTGAAAAGTGCAGCCGCGTCTGGGACACTGTACTTCGTTGGACTCCTCCCGCTGGCGCCGAAGAGCCAATCGGAGCGATGATGGAGGGTGGGGTTGTCACGTGGGGCGGGGCGGGGCGCCGGCCGGCAGCGCGTGCTGTGGGGCGGGGCCGCAGCGGGGGAGTGGGCGGGGCGCCGGCAGGGGCGCCGGACTCCTGAAGACTTGGCTGCTGGACAAAGTCTAGGACAGGACAGGGTGCAGGTAGTGTTCGCGCGCGACTTTTCTCACCTTTTCCACCTTCTGAGTGGCTCCGGGAGGTGTGAGTATCGGAACACAGGAGATGAACGAAGCAGACGTCCAGGTTGTTTCACTTGCGATGATCAAAGTATGTGTTTCAAATCTTCCTTGTCCTCTTCCTTGCCACCCGAACCTACCCTACAAATAGAGATTCCAGTGTGCTATGGGGTTCTTGGAACCATAAATAGGAACCCAGGATTTACCCATCCTAGTCTCTACAGCTGGGTGTCTTGAGACTGGCTCAAGGCACTGTAGGAGTGTCTGAAGATGAACTAATTGCTAATTTACTGTGCTAGGGGAAAGGATGAAAACCTGAATCCGCTCAATATGCAGTGCTGCTAACTTTTTAAAAAAAGCAGTATTAGAACCCAGGGCCTTTCACATGCTAAGCAAGGGTTCCACCACTAAGTTCCACACCCAACCTCCCGGATCTGTTAACTATTGGAGACAGTTTAAAAAATGAAAGTTTCGTGCTAGACACAGTAGGTTTACATACATAGAAGATCCTAGGTTACTTATACTTAAATGTAGCATATACACACAGAATCTAGGGTTTCTGAACAGAACTTTTTCAGTAGGTGTGAAAAACTATTGGGAAAAAATACTGTGAGTGGAATCCTCTTGCTTTTAAAACATCTTAGTTTTGTGTTCTTTGTCTGTCACATTTAACCAAGATTCCTTCAAGTCATCTACTTGCTCCTCCCAAGACACGTGCATTTAAAGCATCTTAGCCATTTCATGAGATCTGTCTGTTTTTATTTAGACAGGCCTCAGTATAATGTATTGATTCTTTAAGCATCGTCAAATGGAGAATATTGCATCTTTTTGGCCAGGGAAGCATAAATGTTAAGGTGGAAACAAACACACCTACTGAAATAGATTTTTCACAAACCAATGAGACTGTTCCCATATTTTCTTCCGGGAAACAGCAGCTGCATCCCGAAGTCTCAGCACCAAGGCTGGACAAGTTCCCACGTGGAGTTCCTTGGAGTGGTTGTTTTTGGTGTTTAGATGTGTGTAACTACCTTTTAATTTAAAGCTGGCAGTCCCTTGATTGACAGCTTTTGTGTGTGGAGGGTGTATTGAGTGTGTTTATAGGGGGTTGTGTATATCTATGTATGTGCAGATAGAAGCCAGACATTAATGGCAGGTATCAGTCTCCATACCTCTCCCCTTAGTTTTTGAAACAGTCTCTCCCTGAACCTGCAGTTCAGCAATTCAGCTTGGCCTGCTGACCACTGATCTCCACAGATCCATCCATCTGTATCTACTTTCACTGGACTTACAGGTGACAAGATCAGGTTACATGGGAATCTATACTGAGGTCCTGGTGGTGGTATGGTTAGCATTTTTACCCACCGAGACAATTCCCCAGCCCATTGCCAGCATACTTAAACAAACAAACAAACAAACAAACAAAACTTTTCATTATTTGTCTGTGAGGAGTATATGCATATGAGTGAATATGCCAGAGGAGGTTGAAGGTGTTGTCCCCAACACCCACCAGGAGCTGGACTTAAAACCAAGGAGTCATTTCTCTGCCACCACCACCACCACCCACTTCTTGTCACCAACTTTTAAACAGTCGTCTTACATTTTATTTAATGTTGTAAGCAGGACACCTTCTCCAGCAATCAAACTCATTGTTGCTTCCAGTGTGCTCACTCAGTGTTCACTGGTGAATGACAGTCATTGACCTATGTGCTGCTTTAATGTTCCTGTTCCAGACACATTTTTTGTTGCTGTGCTAAACTATCCTGATAGCTGCCCTAAGCAACTCAGGGAAGAAAAAGGTTTATTTCACTCACAATACCAGATATACAGTTCAACATTGTTAGGAAATGAAAGCAGGAACTTCAAACAGCTAGTTATATTACATCTACTACCAAGAACAGAAAGAAACTAATTCATACATGCCCACTTGTTTGCTTATGCTCTGCTCTCCAATCTTAAGCAGTTTAGGAACCCCTGCCTAGGGTATAGTGCTGCCCACAGTGGCCTGGCTTTCCCACATCAGTTAATGTAAGATAATCCCTGCAGGCATGTCCACTAGCCAACCCAGTGTAGAGAATCTCTTGTTAACATTTTAGGAGATTCTAGGTCAAATTAACAAAATTAACTACTATAATCCCATCACCTTGTGCCTAGTGTCAGACTTATGCTCTTCCAAAGACATTCTGCTAAATTTTCTTGGTCTCTGGTACTGTTATTGAAGTAACAAGGAATTTCCTATTCTGCAGAGAACACTGTACCTCTGTGGTGTCTCAAGGAAATTCAGGGTTCAGTGCACTCATAGCCATGTATGTTCTGATTGTTATTCCTTGAAGAGGAAATCCTCTTGTAGTGTGATGGCTATTCTGCTATCATTACTCTGCCCTATTTATTGAGCTGATATCCTTGAATGCCACTGACCAGAAACAGTGGTAAGAGACTGATTGGATTCTCCTAATTCATTTGCACTTTATATGACCATTAAAATAGAGCCATGTCTTCATCAACATTTCATTGTCGTGACAAAACACCATGACCAAAAAGCAAGTTGGGGAGGAAAGGGTTTATTTAACTTATACTTCCAGATCACAGTCCACCACTAGAGGAAGTCAGTACAGGAATCCAGAGGCAGGATCTGATGCAGAGGCCATGGAGGGTGCTGCTTACTGGCCTGCTACCTGTGGCCTCCTTAGCCTGAATTTTTATAGAACCCAGGACTATTAGCCCAGAGATGGCACCATCCCAAATGGGCTGGGGCCTTTTCCCATTGATCACTGATTGAGAAAATGGTTACAACTGGATCTCATGGGAACATTTCCTCAAATGAAGCTCCATCCTCTCTGATGACTTTAATTTGTGTCAAGTTAACACACAAAAGCAGCCAATACAGACTATTTTTGGAAATATGACCTTTAAATGAGCAGTTAAAGTTAGATGAGGTCATATCAGAAGGTGTTAATACAACATGACTGTTGTCCTGATTAGAAGAAGATAGGTCCCAGCACAAACCTGGGAACAACCATGTAAGATACTGTAAGAAGGCAGCCGCCTAGCAGCTGAGCAGAGACCCCACAGAAGACACTCAATCTAACATCTTAACACCAAACTCCAAACTGTAGGAAGGCTAGCTTCATTTACTTAAGCTACTCACTCTGATATTAATCCAGGCAGCCCTAGCAAATAAATACAATTGTATTCCCTGAACCCTTTTATAGCTTATAAATCACATGCTACTATGAACAAGTGGTCCTTCCTGTTCCCTCTAATTAGTAATGCCTATGTCCAAAGTGTTCATCAGTCTATTCTGATCAGGCCACTATGTCCACCATAAAGATAAGTGACCTTTTCCAGTCCAACCAGACCAACCATTACATATTGACCAGAGAAAGTGATTCTCCCAATCTCATGTTGAATGCTTCCAGATGGAGAGGAAGATGGTGTTCTGCACAGAGAAGGATGCAAACTCAAACTCCTGCCACATCCTCTTTAAAAAGGATGCCTAGACTGCCTAGCAGTATTTATATATTAAGGTATTTATATATAAATATATTTATATATACTATTATATATTTATATATTGACTTAGAGTTCAATCCATGTAGAAAGAGGGGGAAAACACTGTTAACTGTTGTCTTAAGGTTTCTGTTGCTGTGATAAAACACCATGTGCAGAAGCAACTTGGGGAGGAAAGTGTTTATTTCATCTTAAACTTCTGTATCATAGTCCATCACTGAAGGAAGTTAAGGCAGGAACTCAACCCAGGAACCTGGAAGCAGGAGCTGATAGGGATTCCATTGAGGAATCCTTCTTACTAGCTTGTTCTCTCATGGTTTGCTCAGCCTACTTTCTTATAGTACCCAGGACTACCTGTCCAGGGGTGGCACGACGCAAGGTGGTCTAGGCCCTCTCACATCAATCATCAATCAAGGAAATGTACCACAGGCCAATCTGGTGTGAGCTTTTCCTCAACTGAGGTTCTCTCTTCCAGAATGACTCTAGCTTGTATCAAGATGACATAAAATTAGCCAGCAAACCTGTCCACAGCCAAATACTCCAGACATGTGTGACCAGACTGAAGATAGCCAGACACAAGAGGAGTCAACCATTTTTGTAGAGTTTGGCATAAATCTCCTCCCAGCAGAGGAACTCATGCTGGATGGAGATCAGGCCTCCAAACACATACCCTCTCTAAAGGACAAGGTGTCACTCTCAGATGTCAGATGAAGATATCAGAGTGCCTTTATCCACAGCACTACACACACCACAAATGGGTCAGCCCCTCAAACCAAAGTGCTGTATCAGACTCCACTGGCTCTCCTATACCCTGTTAGCAAAAGTAATTAGGGCAAGTCTCTTTAGCTAAGAAGAAGTGACTCAGGATGATTCAGGAGTCTTCCTCAAACTGTGACACAATTCATAATGAACTAGAGCCATTCTGCCAATCCAGCCACCTTCTACAGTTTATAGGAGAGAGCCATCTGAAGGAAATACTATGCAGATTAGTAATTCTAAGTGTTCTACTATCTAGATTTAAAGTATAAATTCAATTAATTATGATAATACATTCTTTGAACTTAGTATATCTAAAGTGTTGCCATTTCAACATGGAATGGATATTTTGCTTTCATTTTATCTTTATTTTATACTCAATAGCACTTTCCAGTTCAACCACTAAATGTACTTATAGCTTACAATATGTACCATGGAATCAAACAGATTCACATGTGTAAGTTATTTTGAGTATATTAATTTTTAAAATAGTAACCATTTTGTATTTAAATTTAGAAGACATACAGTGGTATGTCAGTCACATATCAAGTGCTCTGTAGACACATACTGGTCTTTATTGCAGAGGTCTGCAAGGCTAGAAATGCACTTTTTCACTTTTTAAACTGGTCTAAATCTCAGATTGTCTACTTCAGCAGTACAGGAATACAAGCTTTCAAAGAGTCAGTATCAGAAAAAGTTTATAATTTCAAATGTCAGTAGAATTAGAGGAAATACAAGCTTTCAAAAGTCATAGAATCAGAAAAAGTTTGTAATTCAAATATCATTAAGTGCAGTAGCCCATTTTCCTTGGCTTAGAAAGGGGAAAAAATGGAACAAGAGAAGGTATGGATCCTGAACAAGCTTTTAGATAATAGCTTTGTCTGTTTTTATTTATTTTGCATTTTGCAATGCTAAAGATCAAAATCATCCTTATGCAAGCACTATACCATCAAGGTATATACCCTGGTCCTACAACTCCTGCTTCCTAATCTCAGGATATTTTGTCTTTCTTGTCTGATCTATGCTTCAGGGAAAAAAGTATCAAATTTGTTTGGACAGTTGATCAAATGATGTGGGCAAAGGAAAACCATGCATATCCTAAACACATGTATATCCTAAACATATGTATATTCTAAACACATTCTTGTAGCCTGATAAAGGTCACTGCTGTAGCACTTAAGATACCTGCTTACACTGCGGCTTGAGGCCTGGGTGGCTGAACCTCACAGGGCCCCTTACCTCAGCCTGTCTGTCACTGCTTCCTCTTCAGGGAGTCACATGACTGCACATGCATCCCACCCACCCTCAGAGCATCCGGCCACATTTTTCTCTCTGCAGCTGTCTTCCTCAGCTGTCAGCCACACTTTGTTTAAGGTCATGCTTCAGAGCCTCCTTTCCATTTGTAAACCAAAGTACTTAGTAGAAACTGCAGCAAAGCAGTGGAGGAGCTGCCATACCAGCCACAAACATACCAGACCCCATGGTCCTACAGGAGACCTGTGAGCAAGAAAGGGGATGTATACTTGACATGGTTTAGAGAGTGGTGTCCTCTGCCAATTCCTCTACGACTTTGGAAAGTCCTCAGTTTTCTTATTAAAATGGAAATGAAAGGGCAGCTACCTCTGTAAGATTGAAATGTGATAATGAATACAAAGCATTGCCTGACAAGATTAAACATGGCTCACCTGACAGAGTTTCCACAAGATCTGGCAGCTCCCTGCAGAGAAAGGCCATGTATACCTGGTGCATTACTGCACCAGTGACTACCAGATGCTGGAGACATAAAAAGTGCTAAGTAACTGTACATCTAACAGTTATGACAGGTCACTGGGGCGGGGGAGGGGGGCGACGACAGACAGGCACAGGGAAGTAAGTCCCTGGGAAGTGAAGGGGCAGGTGAAGGGATTGCTTTCAGTGTTTTCCTGGTTGAGGTACCACATTAAAAAAGAACTCATTAAATGGTGAAGCCAGGGTCTGTGTGAGATAAAGAAATTAGACTGGGATTTAAGGGAAGCGGATGTGAACGGGAACAAAGCTGTGAAGGAGGAGTGTAAGACTGTCATCAATGTCACTTGAGGAGCTAGATCATGCCTACCAGCCTTCCCCAATAGATCTTCTGTTTCGCTTTCCGAAGAGACCCTGCCAACCAGAAACATGTGCCATGGCATGATATGGTGTCCCGTTTCTTGGAGTGAATACCAGATAAGAAATATTAATCTTTCTTCAGTACGTTTCCATACAATAGGCAGTAACAGGTATAGCTGAGCTAAAGCTACCTTCTAAACAAGTCTCTTCTTAGGAGTGGCCTCTGTCTCATCTGGTTTAAGGCAATGTCATTGGCATCCAGAAAGGCAGTCTACACGTGGAGTCCCTTAGTGCCATTGTCATGGTACCTCTGACATGAAGAATGAGATCTTCTGAGTGGTGAATTCTACTTTGAGACATGGAGAGAAGCAGTTCATAACATTATGTTTATAGAAAGAGAACTAAGTTGAGACAAGTTCAACTCTTTAAAGGTCACAGTTTATGGGAAAGCAGCTCTCTAATTTACAAGTAGGGAGACCTTGAGCAAGATTAGAAATTTCTGTGCCTCTGTATTTTCATCTGTAAAATGGAGATAATAATACACTTACCCCACAGTATATATATAACAACTCACAGATAATGAGCCTGGCAATTCTAAATGTACTGAACTACTCACATGTTCTCATGAATTAAAGTGCTATACTTCTTTGAAGATAAGGAACAGGAGGATTCTGTTCTACCCACATAATTCAAGTAGCAATACTTGGATCTAGGATTCAATCCCATCTCCACTGCACATACATTTTGTATGGATATCTGCTAATGTAACTACTAACACAGAAGCATAATTCCTTGGGTGTTTAATTCTCCTTAGTGTTGTGAATATAGCTGGTGGTACAGTACTTTTCTAATAGATGTAAGACCCTAGGTTGGGTCTCCACCACTGCAGAAAACAATGGATTAGCATGCACATGTCTCTCCTTGAACTGACAGCTAACAATGTCTAAAAATAATACACCCAAGAAGAAATAGCTTTCAGGTCTTGGCTTCTAATTCTGTTCTCCAGTAATAAGAGCCAAAGCTCATGATGAGTGTGGCTGGTTCTGTACCGACGGCAGAGGTAACTGGATAAAACTGAGTTATTGTGGGGTCTAAGAAGGATGTGTAGACAGACTAGTGCCATCACACAATAGTGGGGTATGTTCAAGGCACCGTGAGCTAAGTGAGAGCATTCTGAGTGGGGAAATTTGAGTAACTGACCAAGTATAAGATACATTTCTGTGAGTGGATAGTAGTATAAATGAATAAGTGAATCAGTAAATGGAAAAAGAGAAACAGTATCTTCTAGGCAGAATTATGAGTGACATGCGTAGATATTCTAGTTCCAGGCTGGTGGAATGTAACCTGTCACTCTTTAGCTATGACTTCTCTGGGACTTTCTTCTAGATATACAAGATGGAAGAGAGAATTCAGTACAGCATTAACAGTGGAGGAAACTTAACAGCACTTCAAGTCAGGCAAGTGATCAAGGTCAAGAATGCCTATGAAGTCATGGTGATAACCTGTGTCCCTTATTGCATGATGACAATGATCCCTCGCCTTTACAACCTTCTACCTGAAAATCCACAGCCCTGACTGATGAGCGAGTGCTTTGTAATTTACCTGTGTGATGATCCTTAGAACAGTTAAAGACACCAAAGCAGGGGACATCTCAGAAATGGTCACCAGCATGGAGAGTCTGAGGAGCTGAGAAGGCTGAACTGAATGACATTTTGCATGGGATCCTGGAGTGGGTAAATGAAATTGGGACAACAAGGGAATCTGAATAAACAATATGCTGTACTTAATAACCATGAATCTGTGTGATAAATACACCCTACCACAAGAGAACTTAGTCCCAAGCACACAGAACCTTTATACTACATTTGCAATAATTCTAGAAGTCTGTAACTCTAAAATTGCTCATTTAAAATATCTTGTATACCATTTCTTAAGACATGGAAATATATAAGAGCTATACAATTAGAAATTAAAGGTGGAATTAACCGTAACCGATCTCCAGGATTAAAGGAGAGAGTGGAAAATCTCAGTCAAATAACCAATGCTGTAGCCCTTGGTTCTGTTACTTGATCATTTGAATAACTTGGCAGAGACACAATCCTGTTCACCTCTGTTAAAAGACATAGGGTGGGAATAAATCAAAATGTCCAAACAGTTGTGTGCCTCATCTAATTTCAGTCACAAATTGCACCTTTCAACTAGCAGCTTTGGAACTAGGAGGAGACACAAGGACCTTTTCAGAGACATCGATGTCAAAGTTGCTTTCATAATGATGCTAAGATATTGATCTCTTCTTATTCTCAGTCTCTCAGCATACTGTGGCGCTTCCAGAGACTGCAGAATATGCAATAAGTTATAATAAGTTAACACAACGTACCCACAGAGGACCACTGCTCTCTGTGAAGCCTTTTGCTTATAACCACCTTCTTTTGGATCATACAACTATTTTCATAAAGTATGTTACTTATGCTAACACTTAACAGTTATTTTAAATGAGTTGATAACTATTTTTAAATATATCTTTTAATTTTAACATGGTAAGCATTGATAAATATATATAAACAAAAATTCTTTGAGATACTTAGTGATTGTTGAGAGTAGCAAGTATGAGAATCAAAATGATTGAAAACTTCTACTCTAATTACAGTGATCAGGTTGTTCTTTCAGGAGCTTCTCACCCGTGGATCACCTTGTGTCTTAACCCAGACTGTGTTTAGAGACTCCTTCATCCATTGAGCCTAAATGAAAGTAGTAGTGAAAGGGCCAGTCCCCGCCCCCCTGCAGATCGGGCCCATCCCGGTCCCCTGCAGATCCGGTAGAGTGACCTTAGGCTTGACCAGTCACGTGTACTCATTTGACCTTTGAATCTGGGACTACTGAAGTAGGGTCATGAGCAACTCTACGAAGGCAGGAGGAGTGGTGGAGGATCCTAGCGGATCTCAAAGGTTCTCGGGCCACCATCTGTGTCCACTGTGAATGCCATCTGTGGCACAAGTTTCGGCTTGTAGTCCCGTGTTTGGGAGTGACAGAATCAGCACTTACAACATCTGCAAACAGGACTTTGGATATTGTTTGTAGCTATTCATCCTGATTGTGGCTCTCCTGATCGAGTCCCCATTCCAGTAGTTTTACATTTTCACTCAGTCAGAGATGCTCAAATACTGCAATTAAGAACTCGGACTGATCCTACAAACAACAGTAATTACCAATCTTGATCTCTTTTATATCAGTCAGTCTTTCTGCAATTATATAAGTAAACCTTTAATTTAAAAAACAAAAAAACAAAAAAAAACTGTTTAAGAAAATTAAAACATTTACATCCTCAAGAGTTGAAAAAAATGCTGGCATTCTATCCAGCAGTAAACTTTTAGCCAGGCTTTGGAACTCTGGCCCAACTTTCATCCAGCAGAGAGAACGGTTTTCATTGTGTTACTTCTCAGCTGTGCAGTTTCTATAAACAAGCAAGAGGCTCTGAGGACAAGACCCTGTGACGCCAAGCCATGTGCATAGTTTGTTAGAAATCATTTCAAGCACCTTCAGGCTTCCTGGGCCAATCAAAACAGAGATGTTCTAACACATTTGAGATAATCTCATTTTATAGAGTGCTTAAGAGCACCATAAAAACCATATTAGATTTCAAGTGTAGCGAATTATCCAGAAAGGATTCAAGACCTGGCTCCTATTAGGTTTCTTTCTTGTTACTATTTAATGTGATATATACAATATAATGTTTGAGCTGCTAGGGCCTGAAATGGTTCTGCCTTCTTTGATTGTGCAAACATATTTTAAAGCTTTTCTTTTTAATTGAAATTAACCTTCCTGCTAGACATGAAGGGTGAAGAGTGTGTGAGATAGTCAAGTCCTTCAGATGTTCCCATCTCATCCTAACTTGGATTGTTAGGGATTTAAATTAATTTGACTGAACGAGACATCCCTTTTTATAAGTAGAAATACAGCTTGCAGCTGAAATACTACTGCAAACTACAGATTCTTTGAAGTCTTGAAACAATTCAGAGAAAACATAAGCAGGGTAGCAAGCGCTGCCTTTTTTCACTTGGCGCACTGCGATTGTTGGGTTTGAGGTTGGGGGCAGGCATCCCTGAAGGGGTTCTCAGAAGGCAGGCTTGTGTACAGAACACAACACAACAGAAAGATAGAAACCAACGTATGTGAGCTTGAGAACAGGTTGACATATTTAAAAGCAGGCTTTCATAATGACCAGTGATAATCTGCTTCCTGCAAACTTAGGTTATGGGTGCATCTAACTAAATGTGTGCACTTTGTGGCTTCTTATCTCTACGTACTTGAAGCTGCATAGGCATAAGATCACTTGTCTTTACCTCTTCCTGTCTCTCACCCAGGATGTCTGCCTTTCTTCTCTACCTGCTAAAGAAGAGGAAATGGCAAAAATGAATAAATAAATAAATAAATATAAAGATTTTTGATCTGTTCCCATTACTTTTGTGAGCATTGTTCAGTTTAACCTTAGACATCATCATACCCATATTTTTCAATGTTATATAAATGATCAGAATAGGCTTATTTGGTTAGTATTTAATTATCTCATTTTTCTAACCCTTGAGTTCTCAGTGCTATTAACTGGCCTCTAAGAAGGCTGCTCTATTAGAGTATAAATAGGTAGTACCTCTGAGACATTTCCGATTACTTACTGACCTAGAAAAATCCTCATTGAGTGGTTGAGCCCTGACAGGGTCTAACCACTTCTAGGCCAGCCATACATGCTGAATGTGGCACAGGATATATTAGTATTAATAGCGCCTGAAGTCTGTGCATTTTAGGGATACTAGAGAGGCTCTGATGGCAGGGTTTTAGCAGAGCCCCTAGGATGATTGTATCCTAACATCCCATTCCACAGATGAGAAAAGGGATGAGAAAAGTGGGATCTCCATGAGAGGTGAGGGTTCTGTCTGGAGCTGAAGACAGCAGGCCCTTTGGGTGTACACCTAAGGTAGGGGTAGACAGAGGTAAAATGTCTGGGTTGCTTTCCTTTCCCTTCTCACTCTCATCTTTTCCTGAATCATATCAGGAGGTGCTATGACACATCAGCCACAGGCAGAGGAGGAAAGAAAAAATGTAATTTGTCAGCAAGTGGCAAGCAAAGAGAGAAGGTGTGGCTGTCTCTCTCATGGGTAGCTGTGTATAAAAGCAGAAGTCCTGAGCCTTGGCCCCTTCCTGACCACACATTCCCTACTGGCCAGGCCATGCTTACTCCCCTTTCCTCTCCCAGATCACCTGAAAGTTTGTGAGGGAGGATTTGGTAGGTTAAGAATGATCTACCTTTGAAATAGTTATATTAAGCATAAAATAGAATTGTAAACCAGCAGCCAAGATTAGAGGAATGTAGTTAGAGCAAAAGAATCTACTTGTTCTGAAAAACCAGCATTTCTACAGTAATATTAGATAAATAAAAATACAAAAAATTATCACTTTTGTAAAACAATGAAAAAAGTTTGCCATTCTTACTTACACAAGATAAAATGTATATGCCATTTTATTAATTCTTGGAGCATATATTTGATGGCCTCAGATAGGGAAATTCAGGCCCATTAACCTGTCTGAGGCTGCAGAGCCAGTCAATGGAGACAGGTTTTTCATTTCAGCCTTCCAAT